CGAGAATGAACTAAGTGAAGCTGAAAAACAAAATTTTTTAATGATCATTACAGGTGATTTCAACTGTATTTTGGACAATACACTCAAGAATGTTGATCGACTCTTTGAGTCTTCGAAATTCTCTCAGACTAGATCTATGATTGAGCTTAGTCGTCTAATGGTGGAAAATGGTCTTGACGATATCTTTGAACATCAGGATACCATTCTGAAATACCCACATGGAGATGTTTTTACCAATGAGATGTCTTCCAACGCTGCTAATCCAGGAAGAAAGAAGAGGCTAGACAGGTTTTTGATTAGTGACAATTTTTCCAAAATGGGAATACAAGCCACATATGAAAGAACAAAAAGAAGAATTTTTAAATCAACACATTTTGGTATAAAGCTAGACTTAAGCACTTTGAATGGACAAGAATCATCACAAAAATCAAATAGATTCCATACAGATGATAAATTACTGAAAGAATTACCTCAATTGAAAGAAATTATAAAAAATCTCTAGACGAGATGTTGAGAAAATCTTCAATGATGACCATTTAGCCAAAATTCTGTGCTTTGACAGGTAGTATGAGACTATTTGTATAGTGTTGGTGTTAAGTCCTCATACGAGAAGATTATTGAGATGATTAGTGAAGATGATATTTTCTGCTCAGGAAGTGTATAAGAATACAGGCTTATGCCAGTTCTGAGAACTGAGGTCGTCTGTTGTGGAGTATCAAGCTTGCAACAGTCAGAAGGACCAGAGATACACTAAATATCTGTAGTAAAGCTCAATATGTCAGCTAGAAGAGATACGTCTGATGCAGGTGCTGCTGATGTAGCTACGACAGAAGAGGCTCAGGGTAGAGAGGTTTCAGGCCGTTCTTCGCATGGTAGCGCTGCAATTGTTGGTGAAGAGCCTGCCATGAGACCTCGAGGTGAGGAAGTTACAACCCCAGAAAATGTTATGAAGAACTTGAATTCTCAAGTTTGTGCTATAGAAGATTGCTGGAGATTCAAAATGAAAAAATGAATAACCCAAAAACTTCAATAGATCCAGAGGTGGTGAAAATGTTAAAAGATGTTGGGTATGCAATGATGAAGATCATCTTAGTTTCAACTGTCCAAATAAACATAAGGAAAGTGATTGAAGTTGATGATTTAATAAACTGAATTTGCTGTCTTTCAAACTAATTGCTGTAACTAAGTTCTATGTTCAATCGCTGTTTCAACAATAAGCAATTGTGAATGGACCGTCTAGAACTTTGAACCAACCGTCATTGATAATGATGTTATTGAAAGGTAGTGATGATCCATTGATGTGACTGAAGTTTGAAGTTTGAATCTTTTGAACAAACAAATTGAGGTCAGTGATGACATAATCATCGCGAAATGTGATTCAGAATTACAGAATTATGAACTTTGTGGAATCATTATTGAACAAGAAAATGATTGAAGACTAGCATTACTAGAATTGAAGTTAGTCAAGTTCATGAAAGAAAAAGTGACTTTGATCGTCAAATGACCTAACCTGGTGGCAAGGGCTGCTATTCGAAAAGGTTTAGTAGATTGTCAATGATCATGATGATAGTTGAGAAGAAATCTACTCAAAAGGCCATCATGAAATTTGGTGGCAATTGGCAATTGACAATTGATAAATTGGAAGGATCATTGTGCTATTGTTGTTGTCCTAAGTCAATTCAACAGTTGTTAGAACTGACAGGTGCTGTCAAAATGAACTGCTATTAGGATGAACTGTGAAGGAGAACTCAACCAATAAGAGACTTGAGTTAAATTTTAATTAAGATTGGAAGTCTATGAAGATGAGAAAGTGGAATTGTCTTGAGTGAAGATGAAAGTACTTAAGGTAACTGGTAGTTTAAATGTACTAACTAGTTGTGGGCAACTCGGAGTCTGGAGATCCTGGAGGGCTTAAACTGCCTTGGATTTGACAATGAGCTGTGCCATGTGTTTGTCTGGATATCCTGAAGGGGATTTGACAATGGAAGGAAATCATCTGAATGAAAAGATTAGGAAACTAGATCCCTGATTTATGGATTGAAAGCCAAAAGAAACTCCAAGAAACGAATAAGGAAACTGATATCAATTGGTAATGTTCATTCTACTGCTGAATTATGATCAAATGGTCTGATTGTAATTATGGTAATTGACAGAATTGACTTGTTGTTGCTAAAAGGAACCATAAGATAAGAAGTATTTGATTAACCTAGAGATCAGTGTATGATCTTGGAGGTAAGGTTCATGTGTTATTAAACCGAATCATTGGAATTAGTGATGAGTGAACTGTGTTGCAATGTTCACAAGTGTTATGTTGAGTCAGACAATGTGAACTTGGGCTAGAATCTACTTGAGTTAAGGAAGGATAAATGAAACCCAGGAGAATGGTTGAATGAGATCCTGTATCAAATTAGAACTCACTGGAAGTAGAGATGCTCAATGTTATTGCTCATAATAGTATAGTATGAATCCAAAAGGAAGTCCAATTGTTACAACTGAAGTTTTGAATGTTGATTTGACGTGAATTGTTGAGCTGTCAAATATGATTTGTCAACTACAATTCAGGGAGAAAGAGGTTCATAGATAAGCAGATCATCAAATGCAACAATACCAAGTATACTAGATGAAGACAGTTGTCTAGAATGATTCACTATGTGAGTCTAGAGATGTGATAGCAAACTGCTGATTGTCACAAGTGTAAGACCAGGTAGAAGCACTGGCAAGTGTTAGATTCAGTGATTGATCAGGTAATACAACTGATTTGATTCAAGGAATGAATGGAGACTCAAGGTGGGTCTGATGAATCTAGGTTTGGAAAGAGAGTAATCAATACCAGAAGATGAAATCTTGAAGTATGAGCTAATCAGAGAAGAGAGATAGCTTATGGTCTGGTACTTGTTAAACCAGAGGAGACTAGTGAAATAAGTACTGGCTAGGAATGAGACTTAGTAACTGATGATAGTGAACAGTTGATGAATGTGTGTTACTAAGTAACCAGTGAGGGTGAACAGTGGTTAACTGAGTAGATCCATGGGGATGAAAGGTTGTGAATGAGTAACCATAATGGTGAAAGTTGATCTGAACTTTAGGTTTAGATGGAAGAATCTCAATTGATGAAAGAACAATGAGATTGAAGGAAGACAGGTAAGTAAAGTCTTTGAAGAAATCAAACAGAATGTGAAACAAAGTGTTTGAGATCAAACGGGAACAAGATGTGAACAAACTTCATCTTGGTTTGATGGGTAAGAAATTACCGGGAATCAGTTTGGTATTGATTCGGCCATGTAATAGTTGACCTATTCACCATGTAAGTGGACTGCAGCCACTAGGGAGCCGCATAGTAACTGAGGTTATTATGTGTCAATCTTAATTGATTGTGGTCATCAGAAATGTTTGACGGGTACAACAGCTAGCTACTGTTGAGACTGACAGGGATGAAGTGGAATCTAGTCAGTCTGAGTCTCTCTTACTATCCTGGTTTAGGGATAGGTTACATGACTGTGATTAATTTCCGAGGAGTGAATAGGAAAACCTAAATGTGACAAATATACAGAGCTTGGTGGAGTTATTCATATATTCTATGATAATTCAACTCAACTATACATGTGCAGTTATGGACAACTAGTAATAGAAGTTCATGGATTCTATAGGACATGTTTAAACTATAGAGGTAGAGGTTTTCATCCTTTATAAGGTTTCCTCTACAAAAGACTAACAGAAGGTTTTTACTTTTTTCCTTCAACAACAGGGAGCATGAAATTATCATCTTGGGGAAAGGGATTGATGCTTTGACAGGTAGTATGAGACTATTTGTATAGTGTTGGTGTTAAGTCCTCATACGAGAAGATTATTGAGATGATTAGTGAAGATGATATTTTCTGCTCAGGAAGTGTATAAGAATACAGGCTTATGCCAGTTCTGAGAACTGAGGTCGTCTGTTGTGGAGTATCAAGCTTGCAACAGTCAGAAGGACCAGAGATACACTAAATATCTGTAGTAAAGCTCAATATGTCAGCTAGAAGAGATACGTCTGATGCAGGTGCTGCTGATGTAGCTACGACAGAAGAGGCTCAGGGTAGAGAGGTTTCAGGCCGTTCTTCGCATTCTGTACAACAAATTATGTCGGCATTATGATGATGCTACAGAATATAAGTTGGATGATAATATTGAGGATGAAATTGACAAAATTCTAGATATGTATGAATATATTATGGAAAAATTTCAAGATTTTTTGAAAAAAGAGTTGAAAAGCTCAAAAATCATGAAGAAACAACATCAAGATCAAGAAATAAGTTGCATCAATCCAGGTTCCAGAATTTCAAGAAACAACAGAGATAATATCCCTCTATCAGTTGAAAACAATAAAAAACTGATGAAAAAGAGAGAAAAATCGGTTGAAATGAAAAAATTGCAAAGTTTAGATGGAGAGAAAATTATTACTGATGAAAAGGAGATTCAAGATGAAGCCTTACTATTCTATAATAATCTATTTAACATTAAATCTGAATTAGCAGATGATGAATTAGAGAGAAAATCTGAAGAATATGTCAAAAGATTTG